AATATATCCTCCCAATCCCCTCTCTCACCTTCCAGTGTAACGCTCGGAATCCCGCAATCAAGACAGAACTTGTAATCAAAGTACTTCTTCATGCTCGACATCATAATCACAGAAGCGACGATCGTATCCGTCGTAGTCGTCGTGCTGAACGTCGGGAGGATCCACGCACGCAAAGACGGGTCAACGACGTTTTTCTCCAATTCCCGCGTCATATCCATCGCCATCGCACCGAAATCGACAGTATAACGATTTCCGGAACGACAAGCTGCTTCTTCCCCTCATGCGCCACGAACTGAGAACGGAGCTTCTCACTCCGTCCATTGACGAAGAAGTTAAATTGGATAAGTATGGCAGTCCAGACGTCATCCGGGCGGAGGCGGAGGTGTCTGTGCTTATTGTATGCTTCGACTATGGTGTGTACAAGCCCGTTTCGTTGGGCGATGGTGTTGTGCGATTCGGCTGGGAGGGAGGATTGGAGGAGGGAGGCGCAGAAGCGGGATTGTTGGGGACAGGCGGCGGCAAGGAGGGAGGACGGGGAAAGGGGGGTAGCCGCGACTGTTAGAGGGAAGAATTCAGCGCGCAGGGAAGTGGGCGAAAATGTGACTGGCATGGTTGTCGTGATCAAGGCGGTCAAGCTCAAGGTCTAGATCAGTCACGAGTAATAAATCATATGCCTAAGTACAGCATCAAACGAGGTCAGTTGTCAGAAAATGGTGCTTCGGATGAAAAGAGATGATTTTGTGCCCTCCGAAAGGGAAGTACAGAGGCGGCATCAGTGGGGATGTGCAGAGGTTGAGACAGAGGACATGGAGTGGAAGTGGAAGGTGACTGGAACAGTGGAAGAGGCGAAGGATAGATGCCGTGAACAACCCACGTGAGCGGAATCAGCTGATTGTCGGAAAAACCCAGGAAGCCTTATAACTTAAGGCAGGTAAGGCAGGTAATCACAGGAACGAATTGTAATCAGTCTCCTACCCAGCCGTCGCTCCGGGGTATGAAAAAAAGAAATACATCAGAGAGCGCAGACGACTTCACCTGCGAAAATTAAGGTTTATATGACAAATGCAATCATTGATCTAATCATTATTTTAATTACCGCAACTTCCTTTTTTTGTACCCCTCCACGACGGCTGGCATTTTACAAAGGTAAACAATAACATTCTCAAAACTATTTCTTCCTCATAGTACTCGCTGCCCAGTCAAAGGCCGAATCTTTTGAAGACGGATGGCATGAGAAAGCCTTCATGATCTTGTTCGCATTGTTAACGAGATCGATAGTAAACGGGTCATCTCTCAACACCGGATGCTCAGGGTGACAACATAGTTTGAGACGGAGAGTCCAGATGCGCGAAAAGCTGTTGAAATTATGTCGAGAGACGGTTCCATTTATGTTCGTGGTTTGGGATCTGATAACGAATAGTTGATTGTCGGGGTGTCTCGATGACAGTTCTAAAAAAGGAAGTGCAGACGGAGCCTTAGCCGACGGTGGCTCATTGTTTACCTTTGTAAAATCCTCGCCCCGTCCGTCAGTCACTCAAGTATGTTAGGATACGCGTCTTGGACGCAGATATTCGGTTTCGGGGTGCTGCTCAGACCACCAAGCATCTTCAACGACTGATTTTGAGCGATGGGGAGACCTTAGAAGTGGTGTAAAGGGAATGCTAGTTTAGTTGCATGCGGAAGTTACTTTGGCGAATCTCGCAGGTGCGGACTCTCATTCTTTGAGCCACCATTCCCGCTCAAGTTTATCTTTCTTTTTCTTTGGAAAGCCTGTTGGTTTGGTCCTCGCCGCTTAGATCGTCGTCAGCGCCATCTACCCCACCCCCACTCCCTGGAATTGGCCAAGCCTTGGGGAAATACACACAAGGCAACGCAACGATCATCATCGCTGGGAGGAATCGCGCCGCCGCTGACGCCATCATCGCCAAACTCCCCAAGCCAACGACCCCTGGTGTCTCTCACGAGTTCATCGAATGCGATGCGACCCTCATGAAGAACGTACATGCTACGACCAAGGAAATCCTCTCACGCCATCCGAAGATAAACTTCCTCGTCATGTCTCCTGGGTACATGACGTTGAAGGGTCGAGATGAGACGGAGGAGGCGATCGATCACAAGTTGGCGCTGAATCACTATGCCAGGTGGACTTTTGCGAATGGGTTGCCGCCTGCGTTGAAAAGAGCAAAGGAAGACGGGGAGGACGTGAAAGTGTGTTCGGTGTTGGGCGCTGGGAAGGGTGGGGAGATTGACGTTGAGGATTTGGGATTGAAAAAGTCATTCTCTGTGGCCAAAGCCGCGCTTGCTTCGATCTCATGATGGAGGTGAGTGACAAATTTTTTTCTCATGATTGAGTACTCAGAAATTGTACAGGAACTCGCTGAACGAAATCAAGACCTCACCTTTATCCACGGTTTCGTCCGCACTAACCTTCTATCCTCCGCTCAATCGGCGATCCTCCGAGCGGCCTCCGGTATCATAAGTGGTCTGACATACGCAGTTTCGACGGCCCCTGAAGATTGCGCCGAGTATATGTGGCATGGGATATTCAATAGCACCAAAGGTGCATTCGGCAGAGCCTCGGAGGCTTTGCCGAAGTTCCTTTATTTATAACGAGGCAGCGAAGAAGAAAGGTGCCTTCAAGTCCCCCCTTTTGATCTTTCAATGAGGTTCAGCACATTCATTGCCCTCACCGCTCTTTTTATTCCTGCCTGCGCCTATGGGGCGATCTATTCACTCTCCGATGAGGTTTACGGCCCAGGCTTCTACAGCTTCTTTGAATGGGAGGCGATTGAGGACCCAACGCATGGAAGAGTGTGAGTACTCTCATTTTTGTCTGGTCCATCCTGAGATAGCTATCCAGGACCTATGTCGATAAGCCAACTTCGATTCATCAAAACCTGACTTACGCTACCTCCGATACGTTCATCCTTCGAACGGATTTCAAAACTGTGCTTGATCCAAACGGTCCTGGGAGAAATTCGGTCAGGATTCGATCAAAGAAGACGTACACTTCTCACGTTGCGGTGTACGTTATCCTTCGCTAATTATATAGTCGTCCTGAATTCTCGCTAGCTTTGATGTACGACACATACCGCAAGGATGCGGGTACGTTCACCCCCCCAAAAAAAAACTTGTTTTGCCCTCTGCTAAAAGATTCACAGGACATGGCCAGCTATATGGGAAACTCTTGAAGCGAACTGGCCAAATGGTGTTCGTAAAAGTTTGATGCTTCTTCCAGCCTCAGTAATGATCTAATACAGGGGGAAATCGATATCATGGAAGGTGTCAACGATGAAGGAACAAATCAAGCAACATTACATACAAGTCCTGGTAAGTAATACTTTAACTTGAATCGTGTTACTTATCACCCCATCTATATCATTACAGACTGCCTGATGCCAACTAGTCGTACGATGGCAGGGTGAGTACAGCATTATCTTAACTGGGTACTGAGTACTGATCCCCAATCCAGAACTCCTACCTACGACACATGCGACGTGACGCTCAATTTCAATGCGGGATGCGGCGTCAAGTTTCCAACGGCATCCAGTTTTGGGCCAGCATTCAATACGAATGGAGGTGGATGGTTCGCCTCTTATTGCGCCTACATATGTATGTTATATATAGCTGATGCCGACAGGTATGCCATGGAACGATCGCAGACTTACTTCAAAATTTGGTTCTGGTCGAGGAACGACTGTGATGTACCATCGGATGTAGCTCACGCACGTTCATTCGTCAATCCCGACGCATGGGTAGGCGCCTTTATCTATCTATGATCTACGTGAGTTTTGATTTGCAAGCAGGGAACGCCTGCGGCGTACTTCCCCAACACCTTTTGCGACTTCTCGACCCATTTTGATCCGCAGAATATTATTATCAATCTCACTCTATGTAAGTGCCTTCCCCGAGCTGGTAACGATGACTATAAATATGCCTGCATAGGCGGGGACTGGGCTGGTTCTACCTATAGTCAGGGCACTGGATGCCCCTTGACCTGTGTTGGTGAGTTCCTGCCAAACCCTCCGGCTGCCATAAGATGACTGAAATTCATTTTTAAGACCACGTCAATTACAATGCGTCCGCTTTTACCGACGCGTACTTTGACTTCGCCTCGATTCGTGTGTACCAGGACTCTCGGAAAAACAATTATCGCCAGGAAAGGCAAATTTTTAGATAGATTCAACTCCTTCGTCGTTCACTCTGATTTTTCTTAGTCTGCGTTCAATCGCGCCCACCAAACCAACACCAAAGAGTAGACTTGCAAGCCAGTCACGCTCGCAAGCTCTATGTCACAATAATCGCAGGACGTTGCGAGACATGACAAGAGAGGGGCGAGCTTGCGAGCGGACTGGAAACTCTTGTCACCCTTTTGGCGGTTGTAACGTCCCCGCTCGGCGTTGGTGTTGTAAAGCCGGACTTCTTCATCGATCATGGCTGTGGTTGTGGTGAAGATTAATTAGGTTTATTTGTACATATATGTGTGATTTGTAGACGACATGGGACTGCAATGACGTCACTGGATCTTAGTAGCCGCAATATCTTATCAATACTTGGCAAACAGCTGTAAATTTAACTAAGGTACGAAGTATCAACCCACGTCGCATAATCACTGCCAACAGCGCTCGATATCGAATAAGCCCCAGCTTGCCCTGCGCTCAGAAGCGTAGAAAACAAAGCCCGTTGAGCGCCCTGAATGCCGCTTCCCGTGCTGTTAAAGTCTGCGAAGAAGATGTTATCTGTGTTTGGCTGGTTCGGGGCCCAGATTGACCATACGGAGGGGTTGAGTGGGGAGGTGATGATTGTGTTTTTGAAGATGACTCTGTGATTTAATGAGGAGAAAGTGAGAAAAAGAAAGAAAAAAAAAGGGAGCGTTTTGCGTACTTTGCGTAGTCTATTTGTTGTTGAAAGATTCGAATCAGCGGATAGTTTGATGATATGACGAGACTAGGACTTACTTCTCCATGGTCTACCAAGAAACACATTCCCTGCCGTTCCCGACTCGGCTGTGGACGTCAGGGAAATGTTGTTTTTGTTGAAGACGACTGTATCGACAACGCGGTCAGACGGAATCAGAAATAACAATTGCCAAGAGAGAAGAAAGCGAGCTTACAGCTCGTATCGTCATCGGAACTTCGACCGCTTGCAGTGATGAACCCAGCAGACGACACTGCAATCATATTATTTTCAAAATATGCTTTTCCTTGCCTCCCAAAGATAAAATCCACCGCTCCCTGTCCAAGACCAACAACGACCGCCGTCAGTGTTCATTGCCAACGTCCTAAAGCTTATAAACACACCTCAATATACCCACCCAAATAAACCTGCCGTCCCCTCTCCGCGCGCAGCGTATCTTGAAACCCAAAAAAGGAACACGCATAAAATCCAGCGCGATCTCCAGATTGGCTTAGCGCGAGTGCCTGAGAGCCCCGCCCGAACGTGTTTGATACGATGACGTTGTACATTGTGAAATTGGCTTTGGTGATGCGGAGTGTTGCGCTTGCGTCGTCTGATCCTGATGTATTGGCGGATAAGCCGTATTGGATGGTTACGGTGTTGGATTTGTAGGATTTTGTGTTTTTTGTGTAGCCGAAGATCTTGTTTTGCCGTTAGTATCAGTAGTATCACAAGAAGCTACAAAGATAAATGGTGTACCGTGAGCGGACCAGGTCGGGTTATAACAACTTGCTCCGTGTACGTTCCAGGATATATGAAGATAGTTGTCGGGGAATTGTCATTCGGGAGAGATTTCACAGCGCCAGAGACGGTCTGGAACTCTCCTGGAGTTGTTGTACCCGCCCGAACGATCACCGACCCAGCAGACGGCCGAATACGCGAGGCTGCTGAGACGTGCGGGAAGAGGTACGCAGTGGCGAGGATGAGATTTAGAGCTAGGGTGAGCTTGAGCATCTTGAGGAAATATAGTGAGGCCCCGTTGAATTTTTCCGTGCTTTTTAAATGCCAGTGGGCACGTCTGAGCAAATAGGATTGTGATGGTTGAGGGGGCCGCCTATTGATCGGAGCAATCCATAACTATGGAATTGCTATGGAAATATGGTTGAAGAAAATGAAGAATGTGGACGGATAGAGTTCGAAATTCGGGCGCACTTGCTTTGATCCATTCCAAATTTTGGAGGAACGTTACACGCGTAACAACCAAGGGAATTGTTTTGTTCCGTTGCGTGCCACCGAGAACGACTGCACAGGCATGCAAAAAAGCTACGACGCATAGATAACTTGGAGGTGCTCATCGGTCGCAAAATATAAGTGGAGAATGTCGGAAGAACCAAATGTTATGTGCCTTGCAGGGCTATAAAGACTTGAATGAAACGCTCGGCCTAAAAGGCACTATAAGAGGACAGTTTCGCCGAGATCAAGCCGAGATAAGATGTTTTGCCCTTTAAGCTTGTAAGTAGGGCACCAATCGATGCTTGACAAGTACCTGAACTCTTTTCCAACATAGTTCATTCCAATTCATCCAAGGACCACTTCCTCGCCAGCCTCTCTACACTTTTTTTCTTCTGAACCCATTAGTACTATCGTTCACGTCAACCTGGCATGATGCTCGCCTTTACTCCCCACCTCGCCATGCTCGCCGCCTTCTGCAATCTCCTTGCCGTCACCATCTTGCCCGCGGGATCCTGAGGAGAACTTGCCAGTTCCGGCATTACAGTCGTAGCGACCAATCCTTGTCTTCCGCGTTATTGAGACGGGGTGTTTGTGCAAGTCTAGGTGATGGTGGAAGAAAGCTAGTTGTTATTACGTAACTTAGGGTTAGGGTTATGTAGTCTTGAGATCCCCGCTTTCTTGTCACCACATACAACGTGCGCTTAGCTCTCCCCTCTCGTTGGCTCTCCTTCAATTTGTTGATCGAGCTACCGTCGACAGGCTTGACAAAAAACCTGAAGTACTACCTACGTCTCGTCTAGCCGATCTCCCTTCCCAAGTCGAGGAACTGGAACATGTGACTGCTTCTCTTCTTTTTTCATTTCCCGTCGCTCTATGACATGTTCGCGATCGATAAGGGTGTCGAGTGTCCTGTTAACAATCTCTTCTCGGCCTCGCTCGTGCTCGTCCAGCTGCGGAGTGTTAACGTACGAGGATCTCAGTCAGACACGGATGTGGTGATGACTCTATTGTCTTAGCTACCTGTTAACGTACGAGGATCTAAGTACAAGTAGCGTTAGCGTTAAGTATCTAAATGTAAGTAAGAAAAGACTCACCTCAGTCAGACACGGATGTGGTGATGACTGAGGTGAAGGGAAAATAAAGTCCTCGTACTTATAGGACGGTCGGGAATAACGGATGTAAGTTGGGTGTAAGTATAAGCGGTGGAATATAAGTGTAAGCGGTGGAAGTTTTACTGAATTGATCGAGGAGGTGCAAACAAGATGTACGCGTAAATAGATGAGGTCACGAGGGGTCTTCTTCAACACGGAGCGTAACGAATACTGAGTTTCAAGTGTCGTTGGTACGGTCTAGCGAGGGTCCCTCGACGCGTCTCTCTGTTGAACTTCAGCTGGGGGGCATGATGCTATTGATGGATATGCTTCTTGGTGAGTATCAACATTGAGATCCTCCTCGTCGATTACTGACATTTTACATTGCTATCACTGCTGTCATTAGCGCTTCAACATCTAAGTTCTTCATGATGTCGCCTTAGTTATCTTTGAAAGGACACATAGGTTTGGCATCACCCTTCTATTCCAACAACCGTACCTTTTCCAATCTCACCTCCCCTCGGTCTCTCTTGATGTTCAACTCGCATATCCTATACCCTGGACCTCACAAAGATCTTGAATCACGCATCCCATCTTCGCTGGACTTCACACCCGCCCCCGCCTGGGACGCCACGCTCTCTTCGTTGTCGATCCCATATCTTTCTGGAGTTGCAAAAAGTAATCTGTAGATTTGCTGATGGTCCGTCCCATCGGACAACATAACTTCATGGGGACCCGACTCGCAGAGCGCTATTATGTTTTGCGTGTTAAGGGAACGTTGGCCGCGGTTGTAGGTGCTTTGCCGGCTGAGGGTTATCGAAATTTGACATAGAATGATATGTACATTTAAGCGTATCGTGGTGAAAAAGCCTTGGCTAACAATCTTTCATGTGCCATTCAAAATGAGAGAAAGGAACTCTTTCGAGCTGCTCTCTTACGCTATAGAGATCCTTGATTTGAGATAGCTTCGACATCGCTCCCCGACTACAGGACCTGTTTCGGGGCCCGATCTCATTATTTTTTCAAACGTCAAGATATAAACACGTACCCGTGTCGCATCTACAGTTCCGTGATTACGTGGTTTGAGCGTCATTTCTACGTATCAAAAACTAAAGGAGCATTTTTTCAGATATCTAATGTGCATCATGTGCAGTCCTGTTCCATCAAAAAATCCTTCCTATCCGTGTCAAAAGGTTGACCGATTTTTGTCGTGTTCCCGTGCAATGAACCAAGGCTGTCCAAAGTTATCACTTCGGTCCGCTCAATACGCACACCTGTCCCTGAAGGCACACCGCTAGGCACCTTACACCGGAGAGAGAGGGTCCCAGCTTCTACATGGTAAGAGCCCCTTGCATCTTCCGCCGCGATTTGGAAGATGAAGGCGATTATGACGCTGAAATTGCAAACAAGCAGACTAACGGAATTCTTATCGAGTTGAAGGTCAGCAAAAAGGACGCGAAGAGGCAACCCTATACACACCTGGATGACTGCCGCCAGGGCCTCAGATAACCCGCCACCGTCTACTATCAGCCAATACGCATGATTGACACTGGCGATTGTCATAGCTATCGTGCTGGAGAAAATCGTTATAATGCGGATCTTTTGTGACCTTGATAACTTTATTTTCCAGACATGACGGAGGGGCGTTACAATTAAGATGAAGTCGCTCAATACATCGGCTGTAAAAGAATAAAATAAGTCATCATAAATCCATGATGTTGAAACTCACTGGTCAACTGTACGATCGCAACTCTCAAGGGCACTGCGCAAATCAAATGGCTTGGGCCCCAATCCGCGTTTTTCCCCTCGCACGTCCAGAGCAATTGAGCGGTAAGAATAAACCATGTTAGAAGGAAAATAGCTGCGACCCATTTGAGAATATACCGCACTCTTCCTATGGAGATGCGGATCACAATAAAAAGAATTGAAATTCTGGCAGCCCTAGATAGATGCCACAGTTACAACAGATGGAATGGAGTAGCAGTGTGGATCTCACCCATTCACAGCAAGGTAAGACTGGGCAACACTGATCGAATGTAAGTTAGTCAGAAGTCTTTGATGCCAGGAAAAAGGCCTGACAGGTAATAAATAGTTGTTTTAGTTGCAAGAGTGTGAGAAGCTGAAGGAACAAATCAAATCAGCATTCACATATGACGGCGGCCGCGGTTAGTGAGGAAATAGAAACACTTACTCTGATTTTGAAAGAAGATTTCGAAAGAGGTCATGAAAATAATCCCGAGGATCGTCGCCAGCGCGGCCCATATGTCATCCCACCAAATATGAGTTGTGGTCTTTCGACGCCATAGCCGAAAGCAGGTTGCAAGGACACCAATCAAGGTGAGAACGAAGTTGGTGACTGGGATTGGGATGTAGCTTGGAGATATCGAAGCAATAGAAATCAGCTCACCTCGAAGCGCCAGAATGGTGGGAGTGTACATGGTCGTTTCTGTGGGAGTGGGGTGGAGCGGCGACAGTGAAAAAGAGTTCAGATGATGCTACATATGTATACTAACTTATGAACTTCTTCCGGGAAACCGGGAGCTGACCGGTGACCATCTATCCAACCGATAGCCTGATGCAAGGGGGTGGCGGAATGTGGAAAAGAGACCAACACTCGTTATTTTTTTTTCAGGGTTCTGCCTGACACCCCCCCACCATTACCTTCCTAATGAAGTATGTTTTTCCCACACTCATGTTTTTTTTTTTCTTTTTTTTTTTTTTGAATTCAAAATATTTCCATGTAACAAGTCAACTACGCACAGGCGGTTGGCCGTAAACTAAGTTTAAGCTAAGTCGAGTCCACTGAAGATGCATATAACGGGCCTGTGCTAGCATGATATTGAAAAAACTTGTTTAAAGACGGATCATCCTGGGTAAGTAGCTACACTGATGGCTACTGACGGTACAGAATGAGAGGGCATTTCTTCATTACTGTGCATGTGATAAATCTTCAAAAGTGACTCTTTAATGTGTAGGCCGAGAAAGAAAGTGAAGCGTCCGAGTGGTGTAACTCATTCAGAGAAGGAAGAGGCACTTGGCCTGGGGCAGTGTGGGGAGTGTAGGGTGTGTCGACGTAGGTGATAGTACTCTTGGTTTGGACCGTCCGTGTCCGAAGCTGGAAGGTTGCTGCCCTTCAAAATCTGAAAATTGATGGGGTGTCACTTTTTTTTTTCGGCCTTCGGCCGGACACCCCCCCCTCCTACCCTTGGTGCGGGATCCACGTCCCGCTACCCCCTTGGCCTGATGGTGATTTCCGTGCAGTTTGATGGGAATGGTCCAGATGAGATCGCAACTCAGCTTAACCAAGTTATCGTTGAGTTATCGCCTATAAAAGGAGAGCTACGAAATCGCGAGCGGAGAAAGTTTGTTTTCGGCGAACCCTCGATCAAAATTTAATCATATTTTTTGTTGAGTTTCTGAGCCTATCTAATTCTATCTACTTTTGCGCCAGTCCCGGATTACGGAGGCAAAGCTCAAGAGCCCTGACGTTTATTTTGCGAGGCCCCGGATTAGCCTCGCCAAAGCCTCGCTGTCGTTGATCTTTCATGGGCCGTAATCGGATAATCCCGGTCCGCCGATTGTGTGTGGTGTTCTAACTGCACATAATCGATCTTCAAAGTATTCAGTAAGCATTCAATCTATGTACATAAAACATCTCGCTTGCACAGATTCAAGTTCACCGTCGGTTGTTGACCTTTGTGTGGCTGACGTCTCCCCAATCAACAAAGCAAAGTAGGAAACATTCTCGAGCTGGAATTGAGCTGGAACGCCCTCCTTTCGGCCGAATTACGATGATAGGTTGACGAAGTCATTTTTGTCCCTCTCGCTGTAGAGTCACTCGGAAGCAAAGTCAAATTTCGCAAAGAGGCGTAGGCTACAGGTGGCAGGTACGTTCATTTTCACAATTTACTACGTTTTGGAGTGATCTTAGTAACTTGAAGTTTGCGGTAGCGCATCTGGCTAAGTTCCTCTTCGCCGGTCATCCTTTCTCAATCCTCGGCAATTCTATCCTGCTTGGGCTACCGTGTTGGCAAAGACGACGGACACCTGGGGGCCTGCTATGGCTCTGGATTCCGAAAAATTTTCAGGTCGCGTCAAATCCCAGCTGGCATCTGGTTCCAGAGTATCCTCATTTGGCCTCGCTTCTCCGCATTCTTCTGACATCATCATTCCTTCAAGGTTTTGTCCGTATCCCACATCGTTGCTTTCAAGCTTTTCCATTGGTTCCTAGACCGCTTCGGGGTTGCAGGATTACTTTTTGTCTAATTTCATGGATTACGTTGCCTTGGTATGGAGACTAAAGGTCGGCCTCAAGTAAGTTTATGTATGTACGTCTGTTTCTAAGGTTATGGAAACATCTGATTCCGTGTTCAATTGCATCTCTCTGGGTAAACTATATAGCCATTCAACTTAGTTCTCTCGCGCTCTTCTGCCCTCTCCCACCTTATCGATTCTCTGCCCAATCCTTCGCAGGAGACCATTGTGTCCCCATCTGGTATCATTCTAACCCCACGGGTTACGAGTTCAGCGCTCTCCATGCAAAGAGCTTCTTGTCTTTGGCTGCTCATCTTCTACAGTACCTCTGGTTCTTCCCTTTTTTCCACGATAAGGGAATCTCACTTCTCTCAAAGGTGTACAACAAGTAGGCCGCAGTCAACATACCCTTGAATCACGTCACAGTAGCTGACCACAACAACAATTCGGAGGGATCTAAATCTTTCTGTTGTGGGTAGGATCACTATCATTGATCGCCCTAGCTTCTATGTTGACTTGAAACTCCTGTCACCCCCCAGCACAAGTCGCCCTCGCGACCTTACAGCAAGAATATATCAATGTTTTTCAGCCTCCTATTGGTTTTTTTGCAGGCACTTCTCCTGTTGTTGCACTCACTGGATGGATGCTCGAACATTGAGGTCCCCAGATATCAGCCGTTTGCGGTGTTGACTTTTGGTGGGTGGATAATTCCCAGGGGATATCGCCGTGCTTATTGGTGGCCATGGAAGAGGATGGTGCAGCTTTTGCGTGATCTTGGTGGTGGTGGTGGTGGTGGGATTGACAGGATGGATTAGGTCAAGCTGAGGCAGGATGCTGAGGGCGATAGGGTTGTGCAAAGGATTTTGGACCATGATGATACAGTCATACCTATCTTGGGAGAGAAGTATTTGGAATCTACCCCTGCACCGACCAATGCGCTGTTGAACCATTATATCAGGGAAGCTGAAGCCCTGACTCAGTCAGAGGGGGAAGAAAAAGAGGGTGCTGTTGAAGAGCAGCTGGAGACAATGAAGGTGCTGGAGGAGATATTGGGGTTGATGTGTGGAAGGTCAGAGGACCAAGAAGAAGAGATGTATGAATTGCAAGAGCTGGCTCTGGAGGAACTGGGAGAGTTGTGGAGATGGCACAGAAGATGGATAATATGAGGCAGGAACAGGTGGAAAAGGTGGGGGAGGAAATACAGGAGGTGATGGGGGATGTTGGAAATTTCCCAGGTGCCTGATAAGTAGTGTTCGAAAGTCCGGTTAGGTCCGGTTATTGGGTGCCCAGGGGCTCTAACCGAGACCGGTTAGCCTTTGTCCCGAAACCTAAAATAACCTAACCGGACCGCAACTAACTGGTTACGGTCGGTTATTTGCAGTTACTAACCGGTTAGGACCGAAAAATAAAGAATCAGTTATAACAGGGCAAATATGCTCATATGTATCTTGATAGATATTATTTCTGCATATTCTAGCTTTAAAATGAGCCCAAGAACGCTAAAATCGGTGAAGAATTGACATATTTATGCAATTATCCTTGAAAGTCTACACATTTGAGTGATATTTTAGAGATTTGACTGTAACTTAGTCAAATTTTAAGCGTTTTCGACGTTCTCAAGTGCGTTTTGAAGGTGTATAATAGGGCTGGTTATAACCGGTTATTTAACAGTTAGTTAACCGCAAAATAACCGGTTATTCCATTTTCGAAATCAACTAACCCTAACCGCGGTTAGGTTAGTGTTGCAGTTAGGTCCGGTTATTTTCCGGTTATTTTCTGGTTAACTAACCTAACTTTCAAACACTACTGATAAGGCTCCGGCCTTGCAATGTTGATCGCCGACATAATCAGGCTGGATCCGACCCTTGCCAGCCCTTGTCATTTCATGGCAAGCCTGAGGAGATGATGCCAGGGAAATCCGGGGGCGATTGCCTTACAAGGCAACCATATGTCTGATGTAATGATTCCTTCCATGTTACAAGCCTGATGATCTCTGGTAAGGTGTGATAAGGCAAATCAGGTCTGATAAGATTAGTCCAACCTCGTGATATAGGCTCCAATTGCCTCTCCAGCCAACTCAAGGCTATGAACCAATTACTGGTGTTTTGTGTGTCTTATAAGGTTACCTGTATCCTTTTGATCATGTTCAGCTGAAAATGATACCAAATTCCATACAGAGAGTAAAGATATGGTGTTGTAAGGTAGGCTTAAATACTAGATATATGACGGGCCTTGGGAAGTTTCTTATATGCCTTTGTAGTGTAGTGCTACGTTATGACTACAAATTTGTAGTCTTCACGTGAGGATCGCACAAGCCCTGAGGTTTTTGGTTCAATCCTTACTTGTTGCTTTTTAATTTGCCATGTAACATTGTTAAGTCTACATCGTGACTAATTGTCATTTGGATAACCTTATCAGGTGATCTTATTAAGTTAACCCAAAACTTAATAAATTAACTGCAACATCGTAAACCATTATTAGGTTGGGGGTGCCTTGGGGGCCTAATAATCCTTATTAGGCACCAGGGAAATTTCCGACAGACCTCATGGATGAAGTTTCCGAGTCTAGCAAGACCTTGGTGAAGCTGTTTAAAGAAACAAAGAAATAGAGCAAGGCAAATGCATGAGTTGGTAAATTGTATACATAATGATAGTAAACTCCACAACATCCAAAGATTGGTATGACAATTTCAGTTCCACAAGACCTGGCTGCGAATTCAACAGTCAGTTGGTTATGTCAAAGGGGTAGGTATCAGTCCCATAGAACGACACCTCTTTAACATGATGCCAGGCATGCTCGCCTGGAGGGCTGTCATCTGGACTCCACTTGAGAGGCAGTGGCTGACAAGGGTTTCAATTAAGTTGATGTGTTTAGAAATCAGGAAATGCACCTGTGCATATAAGACCTGCATGGCAACTGCAACCTTGATAGTCAAGCTCCACGTCCCAGTGATCAAGTCCTTGACATCCTTAAAAGTTAAGGCAGACACTACAAACACCTTCTCCTTAACCCAAGGAGATACCTAAACCAGCTCAACCCCTTCTTCAACACGAAGGTCATCATCAAACCAATGAGGTTTGGAACCAACCAACCAGCCCAGTGATGACCGTGATCATCCCCTTCTTCTGTTCTTGGAAGAAACCCCCAGCCCTCTTCAATGCAGGTGCGGGATTGACACAAGTCACTCGCACGAGAATGAGTGAAGCGGCAGAAAGGAAGGTGTAGAGGATCTTGGCGGTAATGAAGGTGTACATAAAGAACAGGCCTCTGATGTGTGCAAAGTATACTATGGATACAGGTGCGTAACTTTTGTTGAATGATGGCAGAGGAGTGCTGAGACTGGAGCTGAGAGGTACGTAAGCAGTGCAAGCACATTTTCAGCCATATGCTAGGAAAGAATAAGTAAGGTTTGGCACCAAAGGATATTGAGATTGATAACCTTACCTGCCCAACTCCAATTTCGATGTTCTCCACAATATCCTTCTGCATGTGGTACAGATAGCTATTTCTGATTACAGCCATCTAGATGAATCCATGGACTGGTAGTCCCATAGAGAAGTCAAGATGGCTTACATCAAGACCGGTAACATTCAAGTAGGTTTCGGGCTGCTGGAAATCAGTGCTAAGGATGGTGAGACCTTGATGCCAATAGGAAGAGGAATACACCTCACCCAAGGCTCAAGATATAAATGAACGCACTCTGAAAGGATGATTGCCAAGCTGAAAATATCATTTGCAAAAGTTGTTCCATACGGTCTGTTAGATTGATCGTCAGAGCATCTTGGACAAGGGGGTGCCGGGATTAAAAATAAGGACCAGACGTCGAAATTAGACTTGGGCTGAACCAACCACCCAACGTAATCAGGCACACATCCATTTTGGGAAATACGACGTCATTCACATGCCACCTTTTTCCCAGCAGGCTGCAAAAACCCATTTTTTGAGCTCCCCTGAGCTTGAAATGAAGTTGGCCATAAAATTCACTATTGAAATTGAACTACTAAGCTGCCCACTAAATTAAAGTAAATCACTGTATGGGCCTGCTGTTTTCAGGCAGGAAGCTCCAAGTTTGCTGTTGTAGGGAAAGGTATTTCACAACATGTGATCTCAATTCCAAGTCCTACCAAGGGGGCCTTGGGATTTGAATGCCAGACCAAGGGTTGGGGTTGGGGGTGGGTCCTTGAGCTCTTAAAAGAATTTGCTACTCAGGCCAAAAACTGGCCAAATGGCCATCACTTTCACTCTCAGTTTCTCTTCAGCTATTCTAATGTGCTTTACACACATTCCTGACTCATAACTAATAAATTTTGAATTTCTTTCTTCAATTATGTCAAATAACACATGACTGGCTGAAGATCAAGGACTCTTGTGCTTCTGGATTTTAACCAAATGAGAACTGAAATGCCTTTTTGCAACTTATATAGGCACACTGATATATTTTTGTGCTTCTCCCACCTCTTGTAAACCAAAAATGCGATATGTCTTTTTTGAAGTTGCCTTTTTCGGTCTGACATACCCATTTTAGGAAGGAGGGGTGGGGGGGTGGTCACGTCTCATGGCTTAAAAAGATTTACTGACTAGTGTTTAAAGGTCCGGTCCATAGGACCGAAAAAAACCGGTGGACCGAACTGAACTGGACCATGGACCGGTCTTTTTTCGCTTGCAGTTGCCCAAATTTGGGGTTGGTCCAGTTGCCGGTTGCCTCATTTCAAAAATATTTTAAAACTGTTGAAAGACCGGTTTAAATCGGTTGCAACCGGTTAAACGGTCACATGCATTACATAGCCTTGTAACCACGTTTTCTACCTTTAATTGGGTTTTTGGTTCATCAAAAACGGTTAAGAACTGAGAAAGATATAACCAAATCCATTTTGGCACAAATACTTGTTTGTGCAACTTGTACCAGAATGACTTTAATTCTAACTCACTCAAACTTTCATCATTTTGCTTGATTCAATTTTTGGATATTGACATTTTAACTATGAAAATATACTCACCATCTATCAATATATGGTATGCATCAAATAATTTACAGTTGCCACATTACATTTTGCCCGAGTCTTTAGGAGATGTAATTTGGTTTCAGTCATAGCTAAGTCAAACCTTCATTAAATTTCTTAATAATTGGTGGAATGATGGGTATTTATATGTTTTACTATGATTTTATTTTTTAGAGTAATGATAATTGAGACAAATGGTTTATATTGGTATGACAAATTTTATGCAAAAAGACCGGTCTGAATCGGTTTGAACATGGTCCATGGACTGCAAAAGACCGGTCCTAGGTGGTCCGGTTCGGTTCCCTCAATATCTGGGTCAGTCCTGGACCGGTTGCGGTCCATGGTTGCGCATTTTTTGGGGCAAAAAACCGGACTGAACCGGACCTGCGAACACTATTACCAACCCCATGTAAATTTTAAGGTCCTTGGGCCCCCTTGAGTCCTACATTATCTTAGAGCTAGTTTTTGGCTTCTTTATATACAGATAGACCCAATATATTCAAGCTCATGCATTCTGGCAGTTATCTGAGCACTGTCCAAGCACTGTCGTCGTTTTGCACTGAAATTTTGGTATGTCAAAAAAGAAATTAGCAGCCTGGCAGCCGAACCAACCAACCAGCCCCTGATCCGGGATTTAAATCCCGATACCCCCTTGGTCTTGGAGGTTGGTAAGCTGAATTGGGTACCTTGGGACGTGGCAGGAGGCCTTGATCATTTCCTCTGATGTGGCTTGGAAGGGGAGCTTGTGGTCAGTTGTACCAGCAGCTTCAAGATTAATGGTGGCTCATACATTACAGAGGTTAATGCAAACGGCTCACGTTGGGGCAGTAGGATGTTGGGTAGAGTATAACTGTGATCTGTTCTGCAGGGATTCTTCGGCATGGTTGAAAACTAAGAGATTTCAGCACTTCAGAACATTGATGTAAACATAGAGTGGTTATCTTATGGAAAATGATTGCATGTTTTGGGCTCCAGGTAGGCATCTCAATGAGAACGCACATGCACTCTAGCATTATACCAACTGAAATGGCGTCATCCGCAGCGCCTGGGCTTGGCTGTCCAAATGGGAGTTAACAAGCACTGCGTGCTCCTTGCCCTCTAGCGTGCTGTCTGAGACTCTGACAACGATGCTGATGAGATTAAAGTAGGTCTTGTAGAGATGTTTGCCCATCATATCAAATCTTTGAAGAAGGGGCTAAGCAAAACAAGATTGAGATGCATCGTTGTACACACCTGTGGCTCCCACTTCCTTCCCATCTCCACACCTCACCTCACATTCCAGCTTCCTTCCACTTTCCACCACTAGTTTCTCACAGTTATTTGCCTGCCAGGACATGTTCCAAGGTGCCTACAGTCCGATAACCAATGTCTTCTGATAGATGCTTCACAACGCCAAGGATTCACGCTTCCGAGATATGAGGCAGGCCCGTTACAGATTCAATCTACAACTGTCAGCTTGGGACCAGAAAGAACCTGCTCAAATGTATACTTACAGCCCAGTCAAAGCTGCAGGCAGATCTAGTTGCATATAAGTTGGCAGTTCCTATCAAGAAGTTTGCACTTACAGCGATGTTGCCTGTAAGCCAACCACGGTGGACCAATGAGAACGGGCGACAATACAACTTGAAGCAGTGAGAGCAGTGGGCCCCATTGAAAATGAGAAGACATAGCGACAAAGTAGAGAAAACCTGAGACAGAGCCCTTTTAGAGGAGGTGGAAGCGGTGCTACCAAGGTTCGCTCTTTGAGTATGAGTTAGACCCACTCTTGGCATATGTCCTTAGTTGAATTCCAAGGTGAAATTCGTGTGTAAAGGTTCCAAGGATGTCGTCTGAAGCATTCCAGGAATGGATTAACACGTACTAAGGTATGGTAAAACTCACAAGGCCAAACAAGGTACCGCATGCTGACATGTTGATTGAAGAATCACTTGCCTCTTCATCCAATCTTCATCATAGAAATAATAATGATAACCAATAAAATGCTAAATCTCGAGACAAAAAAATCACACTTTACTTGCTTCATATATAAATGAGGCCATGGGTATGATGTATGTAGGTATGTCATGGTACCTCCTACTGTTGTCTGAGTCATAGTATTCCTACATATTTCAAAAACATTCTTAGGATCTGTAGAAGAACAAGTACTGTAGGTGGTTGAAAAGTTGCCCCGTTCACAGTGAATAGATGGTACCTTTAATTTTAATTTTAGAAATGGTGACTTGGCACGGAAATTCTTACCAGTCTGCGAGTGTAATGACAGTTGATTCTGCTTCAGAATAATTAGCAAGTATTTCCCGAAATTGACAGTGCCATTACCATTATCAAAATCATACCTATAGGCGAAAGTTAGTAGATGCAAGAAACAGCTGATTTTGGACAAAATACGAACAAATGCCTGTATGGGTCATAAGGATCGTAAACCACCAAAGTGCCTCTCAAGCTGTCGCAATATTGCATGGCTGAAACGAGAATGTGAGGATGAGTTAGGGCAGAACATCAGGTTGACAGTCAACGTACATGGTGGGAATGGTACCAAAAGGTTCCAGCCTGATCAGGAACAGAGAACTGGTATAAAAATGAGTTGCCAGGGGAGATGGGGCATTGTGTCACTCCAACTGGACCATCTGCCCAGCTGGAGCCATGCAGGAACATGCCGTGCCAATGCTATAGATTAAGAAAACATCGGTTTAGTAAAATGAGAGGGCTAAAGATAAAGCAAGCTGGCGATGCTAGTGCTTCTCAACATTGTCGTGTCGGTCAGGTGATCGGCTACATTCAAGAAGAATGTGCTACCCTGAGGATTAACGTCAACTCGAGTTCACCGGGGAAGAAAATGTCCAACCTTGGTGCCAACAATAAGAGGTCCAGGGAATGTCCCAACTGTCGACGAGGTACCAGCAAGAACAGCACTGTGAAGTAGCAAAAAATTAAATGTTAAAAACATTTATGAAACGTACTGGAGGAAGTACGAGCGATTGAATCCATCTGGTTGTATGTAATTGTTGACAATATGTATGTTGGCTTTCCATACTATTGATGCACTAACTGTCTGTAAAAGAGTGACGGTGAAGAGAGTGGATACAAGCATTTTTTCTTGCAGGGGAAAATGCAAAATTTACAAACTTTCATCAGCCTTTATAATGCTTGATAGTTGGACCATGTTGATCCCCAAAGGCCGTTATTAATCAACATATCAAGAAGCAATTCCGCCAACGTTAGCCATTTTGAACAGACAGCAGGTAATATTTTTGCTGTGGTGCCTGGAGAAGTTTGCCAAAAAAAAAAAGGGAAGTCATTACTGTGTCAGTTATTCCCCACCGTGCCTTATGACGGAGAGAATATCCCCTACCTGAGAAGCAATTCCCCACCACACCTTATGACGGAGAAAATATCCCTGCCTGAGAAGCAACATGTCAGAACACAAGACCGCAAGGGAGGAATACAACAGCATTAATCTTACTGGAGATATTTGAGTGGCTCAATCCAGAAATTTCTTTTCCTGTGAACGTGGACAAAATTTCCGAGCTTTTGAGGCCGGCCCGATACATTCTAGACACACATATGACAGTGACCCTAGCCCTTACCAAATGGACCAACCGAACCTGACAATGCTTCATACCATATGGGGCCAGCAGACTTGGCCGACATCTCAACAAATCATCCATAGTGATGGCTGGGCTGAACAGGTGGGCGCCTGCCAATAATGGGCACTCCTATTGAAAATGATTCACAGTTGTGTGCCAATAATGGGTGCTCCTATTGAAAATAACCCACACTTTACACCAATGTCATTATTATTTCGTGCTCTACAGGCGAAATTATTTTGAGCTCTGCAATGGGCGCAATTATTTTGCACTCTAAGGGCGTGCAATTATTTGTGCTCTAGAGGTGCAATTATTTCAAGCTCCACAAGAGGCGCAATTCTTTTGTGCTCCATGGGGGCACAATTATTCCGAGCGCTACAGGGGGCGCAATTATCTCAAGCTCCATGAGGGGTGAAATTATTTGCATTCCATGGGGGGCACAATTATTTTGAGCTCCATAAGGGATGCAATTCTTTTGCACTCCACAGGGGGTGCAATTCTTTTGTGCTCCACAGGGCGCACAATTCTTTCAAGTGCTACTGTATGTACCTTGTGCTGTTGATAGGGTCACAAATAGTCTGTATCCAGCATTGTTTCAATGTCAGAGTGTGCTGTGCCCAATGTGAATGGGCACCAAAGGTCAGAGTGCACCCAATGTGAATGTTCACCAAATGTGAGTGGGTGCCAAATCACTTATACCTGCACTAAGTATGCATCTGTGTCTGTTATTTTC